AAAATGTTAGAATTTTTTAGATTTTGTTTTAATGTTCAAATTTATAATAGTTATCAAAATAACAAATGGTAGCTACATTTAAATCCCTCAAATTTGATTTTTGTTTTTTGAGAAGCTGTTCTACAAATGTGTTTCAAATGAACAAAAGTACAAGATACTGACTTCACCTTCTTTGATATAACAAAAGGCTGGATATTATGTTTATATCCGTTATTATATGACTGACTAAAAATATTACGTTCAGGCAACAGAATAATGTGTAGCCATAAATGAGGTTGCCATGTCTATACTATATGCGACGCTGTCAAATGCTTAGCAAAATTAAACATAGGTATAAACATGCGAAGAGAATGTTACCATTCAGATAAAAGGTATGGGATACCTACATGTTTGCATGTACAGACACAAGGTACTTCTGAAGAGCCTGGCATTCACCACAGCCCAGCACTTCTCCGTATACTTCCCCATAAACATGGGGACCGGATGCCTAAGACATTGGGGACAGGGTTTGGAATAGAGGGACATTTTCAATGTAAGCCCCTTTGTAAGGTTTGAAGATTTTGCATTTTTTTATTTGACAGTTTCATATATTTATATAACAGATGTTAACTGTTTTCATGCCTGACCCGACCCCCCCATCTCCCATTGGAGCTCTTCTCACCCAGTTCCCCTCCTGCACTCATGACTTCCTTTTGTGTGTGACCCACTGAGTTTAATTAGAGTTTCTTGCCTGAATGAGGAGTGGGAAGATTTTACTAGAACAGGGACAACTTATCAGGGACCACATTATGGACGAAACTAAAACCTGCCTCCTACCAGATTTAGGTTTTTGCACCATATATATCTTCTACTTCAAAATAAAGCATATAGATGGGTTTTAAAGATAATAAATAAAGGTCACAGGGAGAACACTAGAATTCAGTGAGAGACTGAACTCTATCTAATTCTTGTATTTACCATTAATCAAGAGATGGAGAGATGGCTCAGTGGTTAAGAGCACTGACTGCTCTTCCAGGGATCCTGAGTTCAATTCCCAGCAACCACAACATGAGCCACAAGATGGTGGCTCACAACCATCTGTAATGGGATCCGATACCCTCTTCTGGTGTGTTTGAAGACAGCTACAGTGTATTCATATACATTAAATAAATAATTCTTTGAAAAAAAGAGAGAGACAAAAAAGAGAGAGAGCAGCACAGAAAGAGGCAGCTTTACAGGGACAGTTAAGTTATAGAGAGATAGGCTGAAGAGAGAACAAGCTAGACACAGGTAAAGACAGAGTGAGCCAGAGAATGAGAAGGAACCAGAAGATTAGAACAGATTGTCTGAGTTAGCTTGAGGTCAACTGGAGCAATTCAGGAGAAGCTGAGGGAGGCCCGAAGCCAGGTTGAGTCAGTCAGTGTGAAGAGGAGTTTTGAACCAGAACAACTGAGTTGAATCAGGCATCCGGGATTCAGAAAGAACAAGAAAGGCTGAGCTTTTTCAGCAGTAACTCTGAGAGGCTGAATACGTTCTAGACCTAGGTAAGAGGCTAGAAGCTTCTAGGACTGTGTCTAGGTTAGCCAACGCAGAAAGCTTCTGAGACAACAGTTACTTCAGGCAACTAAGTTACTTTCACAGGGGTTCTCTAAACATTAGTGTGACCAACATCCTAGTTTTAATTCTATTGCTGTGATTACAAATGCTCTGATTTAAAGAAGTAACTTAGAGGAGAAAGAGTTATTATGCATTGAAATTCCAAGTTACAGTCCATGTCAGAGGGAAGTCAAGGCAGGCTCTTAAGATAACAGTCACGTCATACTCACAATCGAGCTCTGAAAGAGATACATGCATGCTTACTCTTCAGCTCAGCTTCTCCATCTCCCTAGCCCAGGACCCAGACTCAGGGAACGTGCCGGTGCGTGGATGCATGTGAATAAACACAGGGCAATGCCCACAGGCCAACCTAATATAGGCCTGGCTTCCCAAGAGAGTGTCAGGCTGACAATTAGAACCAACTGCCACAATTGCCAAGGTCACAGACAGGACTCAAATAGTTCTTATAAGTACCTAACTTTTAAAACAGCTGACAAAATGTTTATTTTATTGTAACAAATGATTGTTTCAGAAATAAAATTTATTTCCAATTTTGCATTTAACACAGGCAATTTTTAATGCAAAAAATATGATAGATTCACTTTTTAGATATATTTAAGAGTAACTTAAATGTTAAAAATAATAAGGATATTAGTAGGTATGAAGGAGCACTTCTGATGTTTTTTAATACTTCTAAGGAGGAAACCGGATTTAGTTGCTATAAATACTGATTCTGAGCACACTGCCTGGTTCATAAGCAGTTCCATCATTTCTTAGCCCTGTGGCCTTGGGCACATTTCTTCTTTGTGAGTGTGTGTGTGTGTGTGTGTGTGTGTGTAAATGTGAGTGCAAGTATGTACATGCACAACAGCCAATGTGGAGGCCAGAGGACAACCTAAGGTGTCAGCCCTCGAACACCTTTCACTGTTTAGTTTTGAGATGGGGTCTCTCATTGATGTGACACTCTGCCATATATAGAGAGTAGTCTAGCTGGCCAATGAGCTTCCAAGGATCCACCTCCTATCTTGTCAGTGCTGTGATTAAAGACACGTGGTAGCAGCCTGACCTTCTCTGTGGGTTCTAGGGACCTGGAGTCAGGTCCTCACGCTGGTGAGGCAAGAGCTTTGCCACCCAAGCCATTCCCCCTGGCATATCTTACCTCCTTCTGGCCTCAGCTGGCCTTGAATTCGCACAGATTCTCTTGCCTCTGCCTTCCGAGTGCTACCACTGCCTGGCCCAAATATTTTCTTTTAGCTCTTACAATGATTCTAAACACAGAATTGTCATCAGTTTTAAATTATTTAAGTATAAAAATCTTTCTGTTTTAAATTAATTAGCTTTTGAAGCATATGAGAAAGATAGTGAGAATGTACCAACATATAGTACTTGAAAGCAACAATTGTTCTTAGACTCCAGTAAAAGGATATCACTAAACCAAAGTAATCTTTAATAGGATCTCATGACGTCTGTGACAGAGTGTAATGTTTGAGTCAGCTCCTTTGAGGTGTCTCAGATGGTGCTGAAGAACACAGCTTCTCCTTTTCCTTTACTTATTAACCACAGATTTACTCCCAGTGCTCAAGTGTTTTCAAGCCCCTGGTGGGTGTAGCACATGAGGGGTAAAAGCAATCAATCCTGTAAGTGAGGCTTGAAGTGCAGTAATTGCTTTTTTCTCCACGTCTGTTAGGAGGATGTTGCATAAATGAACAGCCACTCCATTATTTTGCAACATGAGTTTCAATTCTTGAACTTCAGAGCAAATGCAGAAGCATCTCACCCTACTTCTGGGGAGTGGTGTGCTGGGAGACTCCTACTGTGTGTTGGAGATACTCCCTGATTAAACTAAGCATCCAGGTAGAGTCCCTGCAAAGCCCTTACTGCTGATGGGAAAGCAAACCAAGCTTTAGCTCCACAGTAAACTCTGGCTACAGATATTTCTGAGTCCCTCAGAAAAATATTATCTTCTCTCTTCAGTCTTTGAACCACTGTAGGAATCTTTGTCTCAGTCTTAGACCCTGAGGTTTGATCTGAAAGGTTATGTAAACACATATGCAGAGGGCAGTAAGTTCAAAATGCTTGCTGAATAAACAGCATGCTTATAACCCATTACACAGTAGGTTACATTACATCATACTTAATGTTTACTGCTAATTCATGTTTCCTTCAGTATCCGCTGTCTGACATCCTTGACTGACTTGTACTCAAGAGCCATACTAACACCATGCTGTCTAAATCTTTGCATGAAGAAAGGCCAGAAGATTGGGGTGTGTGTGTGTGTGTAGATAGATAGATAGATAGATAGATAGATAGATAGGAAGGACAGAGATAAGAATGAATACCAGTATCCAATAGTAACCACTAAAAATTATTAAACTTGGAATGAAGGAAGTCTAATTTCATAGTTCTTAGATGACTAGTGGATGCAGGGAACTAAGGATTACAGTTTATAGCGGTGTGACTCCTCCACTGACATCCAATTTAGGCAAGCTATCTCTTCACCTGTAACGGGTGTTCAAGATAACTACCCCATAGAGTGTTTTTGTTTTTTTTTTTTTTTTAGTTTTAATACAATAAAAACACTACAAAATATGTTCTTATTGTTCCCAGTCATTTAACATACACATACTCTGTGGGGAACAAACTTTCTAAAGGGACAGTGAAGATACTCATGTGGGCTAGAATCACCCTCAAGTGGAAGGGATATCAGCACCTCTATTTTCACTGTAGGGGTTTGCAGAACCTGGAAATGACTTCCACTGTTGGTCCTGCACCGCGGAGGATCTGGAGGGCAGGTACTGGAGCTTCCACGTTGATGACATATGCATAGTTACAGGCAAGGGGGTGACAGGAGCCTGGGGTGCGCCTGTCTCACCTGTGGCCTGGCTCCCTGAGAGAAAAGGTTAAGACCTTCCACATATCCCCGAGGCTCATCACTGAAGGCTTTTCTGGTGACGCTCCCCTTGTCAACAATCCCAAGTCTTTTTAGTGTTTGTAAATTAACCTCTGAAACTCCCACCTACACGGTTTCCTATTTTCCTGGCTCAAGTGGGTCACTCCTGATGTATAACATATCAGTCACCAGGGTCCGTCCCAGTGAGGCCTCTCACTTTAATGCCCCTCTGGAGCACCTAGGACCTCCCTCTTCTCCATCCTTCCTCCTCAGGACCTCATCTAGCCTTCTCTTAAGAGGATTCACTGACACAGCCCCTCAAGTTCCCAGAAACCCTCTCTCCTCAGACCTAGAGAAAATGAAAGCCACTCCAGCACTTGGCCACCAGGAGGACGCCAGGCATGCGCAGTGGCTGCCCTAGGCAGCAGGCTGGGGAAGCCAGGGGCGGCGAGCGCGATCCGGCAGAGCCCCTGGTGCCAGCTCGCGGGCTCGCGGGGTCACGCGGGGTCACCCGGGGCGGGAGGCCGCCTAGTACCTGATAGCGGCCGGTGAGCAGCTGGCTCCGCGAGGGCGTGCACAGCGGCTGCACATAGTAGTTGTCCAGGACCACGCCGCCGGCCGCCAGCGCATCCAGATGCGGCGTGCGGATGACCGAGCCGTGGAAACCCAAGTCGTTCCAGCCCAGGTCGTCCGCCAGCACGAAGACCACATGGGGCGGCTGGGCGGCCCCGGAGGCCCGGGCCGGCGACAGCAGCAGCAGCAGCAGCAGCAACGACAACAGTGGCAGCTGCGGCCCGGGACCTCCGGCCCGGCATCCGCTCGGCTTGCCCATCCTTAGCAGCCTACGGGAGCCCGAGCTGCGGACACCCCCGACGGAATCGGGAACTGAGCGGCCCCGCTCCCCCGCAAGATTACATTCACCTGGGCGGGCCGCAGGCTGGGGAGGGCCGGCGTCCATCGCCTCCGCCTCCCGGAGGGGCCGTGGGAGGAGCCGCACAGAGCGCGAGGGCAAACTCCGCTGGGGCTTCCAAGGCCGGGAGGCCCTTTGTTTTTCCTAGCTGTGAACTCGAGAGCCCACAAGTTCCAAAGTTGTTTCACAACCCTTATCTGATTAAACCTAGCGGCAACCTTGGCAGCTAAGCACTATAATTATCGCCCCCTTTATTCCCCAGAACAAACCGTGTAATGGTTTGGATCATTACAGATGAGAGAATAGAGAAGAAAGTCGTGCAGATGGTGTTTCAGATCACTTATGAAGTGTGTACCCATGAAGCCACTTCCTTCCCATCATCAGTGGGCCAAACACATTCTGTCTGCCCAGAAATTGAAATGAAATGGTGGAGTTTCATTTCAAGACGTTCAGGGTATGCCCACCTAAGCCTGTCTGTCTGCTTACTCAATGTCTACAGATAAGTGATAAATGTTAGGTGGAGGGAAAAAAATCTGCACCGCCTGGAGAACACACCCTCTCTGGCTGAGGCCAAGTCCCTGGGTGTTACTTTACACCTCCAGAAGCTCCGGATGAATGATAGCCTTGAAAAGTAATGATTGCTGATGTATTCACCTGACTTCCATGCAGTTGACTGACGGGCGTTTGTGGTATTGTTCTTACACCAGTTTTAATTTCTTATCGGTTTCTTCATAAATAAGTTAGATGAAATCACATGATGTATTCATTTCTGCATTTGTCCGGAGAGTAAACGTTTTCCTTTAAAAAAAATTATTCTTGAATATATGTTTCCCTCTTAACATGAAGTTTTCTTTGAAGTAGATAACTACTTCTTATCTTTAGTAAAATATAGCCAGAAAGTTTTAAATTTTGGCATTTTAAAACCCAAAGGCAGTATCTTAGAAGAGCTGTTTGTTTCCCGTTGTGTTAAGGATGGTGCAGGAGGGGATGGGAATGCCCGCTGTGGTCTCTGCACATTCTTCTACCTCATAATTGTCTTCTATATCCCTTTCCTTTTGTTTTTAAGCAGGTGCTTACTGTGTAGCCCAGGATAGCCTCCTCCAGTTCTCTGTCCTCCTGCCTCTTCATCTACCACTGACAGAACTGGGATTACAGTCATATGCCATTAGCCCAGGCTTTCCCTGCCCTTGATAAACATCAAATAGCCTCCTGTAATTACTGCTCCTGGAGCTAAGCACATACCAAGACTCCTCATGCCCTACATTTTCAGCCGAGCAGGGCTGGTGGTGCCCTGGAACTGTGCAGGTGGGAGAGTCTGATTTTCATCTATGTACTGAACACCTATGACAAGTATACTGTGCATAGTTATTTTTTTCATCTCTCTACTGGTGTTCATTTGATGTTTCTGTCAGATTTGACTCGGGCAACGGCTTCGTACAAGAGTACAGGAAAGTGATGTGGGTGCTTCCTGGTACCTCAGAGAGAGAGGCACAGTGTTGATTTGCTCTCCTGTGGGACCTCTGTGTTACTGGCATCAGGTCTCCACTGCAAAGTTACCACTCCCCCTTGTAATTACTAAGTAGGCTTCAAACTTTTGCTTATTGACTTTCATTTCTTGCATGAATAGATTATAATTAGGATGGCTACCAATAGTGACTTTGTGGTTTGCTTTCTATAAGTTTCTGAGTTTCTTATGTATTTAGTTCATTGTGAACTCTTAGATTCTTGTTTTGATCAATAAGCCATAGTCCTTTAGCATAATTTCACCCTCAGCACACACACACACACACACACAACTTCAACAGGCTGAGTGACACTGGTTTATTGGAACAAGGAGGGGGCCCTAGCTTTTCAAAGGGATGAAGACTGAGTGCATTCACTGGGGCTGTGAGACACACATGCGCACACATGCACACACACAGGCACACACACAGGCATGCACACATGCACACACACAGGCACACACACAGGCATGCACACATGCACACACACAGGCACAGAGCAACCAGGAAGTTATAGCTAATTTTTGTGATTTGATTTGGAGCAAGTGGGTTGCTTTCAGCATCTGGGCATATTGTTTCTGCAGGCGGCTCTGGAATGGTCAGGTGGGGCTAAGTCACTCTTTATGACTTGGGACTATTGCACAATACAAGCTGAGTCAATTTCTCATGGCACCAACATATCCCAAACCTAAAAGCGTAAAGAGAAAAAGAGGGGAGGCATCATAGTTTTAGAGAGGCCACTTCCTGCTGAAAGGGGGCTACATTCCCAACATTGGGAGGAGCATGCCGAGGTAGCTTCCAGATGGGATAAGAGCTGGTAGTTCTGTGCCATGAAGAGTTCGGCGACCTTCCAGGATGTCAAAGTTGTAAGTCTTTGTTGGGTGGACTTGGTGAGACAGCTGAAAGCCAGGGGCCAAAGAATAGGGCTAACATGATCACAAGGATTTGGAGTTAACATGATCATAAAGACTGGGCCTGCCAAGGCATCGATCCACAGCCCCCAAGCAGTCAGGTATACTTCCAGAAGGTATTGTCTGCCCTTTCTCGGTTTTTGATTCTTTCGAATAACTGTTTCGCATCTTCCTGTACTGGGATGCATTGGTTTACATGATGCTTCCTTCTCCTAAGAAGGCCCCCATGCCTCCCTTTCCAGTGCCCATCAGGTCTAGTCATCTGTGGGTTTGGAGGCCCCTGCAGGCAAGGGATCTCTTTGGCTTTGTAGGGTGACTATGATTCGTTGATCTGACTGGTCAGCTGGCTGTGTTTACCTGTTAGAACCTCATCACTGTTGCCTTAGAGGCTATCGTGCAGTGAGAGCCATTGGGGAGGCTCACATGGAACGAAAGTTTGGTTATAGGGAGATGGTCAGTAGACATTTAAAAGACAGGGTGAAAATATATATATTAGGAAAATAAGGAGGAAAGGAGTGAGGGGGAGCCAGAGTGGAGGGGTGATGGGGGGAGCCAGAGTGCGGGGGTGATGGGGAGCCAGAGTGCGGGGGTGATGGGGAGCCAGAGTGCAGGGGTGATGGGGGAGCCAGAGTGCAAGGGTGATCGGGGGCAGCCCGCGTGGAGGGGTGATGGGGGTGGAGTTGAGGGTAGGGGTAGGGGAGCCAGAGTGCAGGGAAACTGAAAATCCGCGTGTGAGAGAAGCCTGTGGTTTTCTTTTCATCTGGTCCTGTGTCTTTGGATCCCATGTCATATGAATTGGAACTTGGTAAAAAAGCTACGTTGTTCTCCAAGGAAGGCATGTGGCAAAGATCCAGAACCCAAGTCGGAAGTCGCATAGCTATGCCTGAACTTTCCCTGATCTGGCCACAGAAGTCTCTGTGGTCTGGTTCTTGTCCTTTTGGTTTCTTTTTCATCTCTCATTCCATCGTTTCTTTACTTTTGGCACATCCAAGGCCCATTGTGTATTTCCTCTCTGCTTTGGAATTGGATATTTCTCTAAGGAATTCTGACCTGTCTGGGTGGAAGACACCTTCAGAAACCAAAACTGGTGCCGAGCAGTGCTTGTCGCTCTTGTGTAGTCGTTGCCTCTTGGCTCTCAGTAGATTGTCAATAGCACCTAGTCGTGTGTGCGTACATACACACTGCACTAAAGTTCTCTGAAGGAACCACATCTCTGTTGAAGCTCTTGCAACTAATTAATTAGAACTCTGTAGTTACGGAGAGAAGCCATGTTTATAGTCAAGAGCTAAAATCATCTTGGGCTACCTTCAGCTGCCCTAATAACCATGTGTTACCAACCTCTGGATCTAAATCTTATTAACTTAGCTGACCACAGCTTCTACCAACCCTAACGTAAGCTAAGAATGCTACAAGACAACATGTGAAACCTATGGAACAGATTTCTCTGCTGGACTGTAGTCCACCTACCCAATGTCCCCACCAATATAATTGACAAATGCCTTGGGTTATGGTTTTCTTTCATCCTGTGACCTTTTCTATAGTGGTACACGTAGAATCTGTGTTCCTGAGCCATGGACAATTCCTACTTGGCTCTGAACAAACTAGCTTCTATTCACTTTAGAGTGAGAGCCATGATCTCCATCCAACACATACACAAAGTCTTCTTACGCACACTCACATCCTTTGTCTGCATGTATCTATATGAAGCCATGGGTTCATTGTTGATACCGCCAAATCTATTCTCCCCACCCATATGCATGTGGGTTTTAACTGTTTCATTATCACCACAAACTAATAAGTACTATACTATAGGCAGCTAGGCCTATTCTTTCAAAACTAACCATACTTTTGCGAACAGTGCCAACTCCAAAGGAGTTAGAAATGTAGGTCCACATAAACCCTTCATGCATGTTCATAGCGCTACCAAGTAGGGTTGACTGTGCGCCATTTGAAAAGGCCAGTTATTCATGAACAAATTATTGAAGCAAGAATAAAGATTGTTCTGGAAAGCCAGCAAACCAAGAAGATGGGAGGCTGTCTCTAACAAAGACTGGTCTTAGTCTGGATCTCAAACTCCTTTATCCCCGGGTGAGGAAAGAGAAGGTGGCTTAGGCAGAATTGAGCAGAAACCTGACCCAAAGTGTAAATCGCTTAGATTCACGATCTCTAAAATTAGTCAACTACGGCCAGGACTGTAGGCACACGCTGTAACCTCAGCACCTGGCAGGCTCTGAGGGAGGAGCATGAGTTTGCAGCCAGGCTAATTGGGCTATAAAGTGAGACCCTGACTCAAAAAGCAAGGTGATAAACAGTGATATTTCCAGATGACAAACTATTATTCAGCACATAAAAGAAGGCCATTTGTGCCACAAAGATGGAGAGAGGGAGGTACCACCTTTACCATAAACTTTATTTCCATAGACACTTGGGCCCAGGTCTAGATGTAATGTCCTGTCCCACCAGCCTCATTTACTCACGGTTTATTGTTTCTGTTGGAGACATCCATACACTTTTCAATGAGCTCCCACCCCTTTGTACCTTTTGTGTTTTCCTAGCTATTCCTGCAGATTGAGTTCCTGTGTGATCTTTCATATCAAC